CGTTATGTTGGAAAAGTTATGCATCTATAGTTCACATCTCTGTCTGTATGTAGTATTTATTTGAGTATGTGAACTATAAATGTAAGCGCTTTCCATAAATGTACTTTACCTCTGGTCTTATGGTTGTTGTTGTTGTCTTTTTACACATAATAAATTTTCATATTTCATGTTTGCTGGACAATATTTTTTCGCATATGCATTATTATAATCTCATTTTTGCATTTACTACAACATACTTCCGTATGAAAGAGGTTATGCTTTCATTTAAATTTTTTGAATACTTAGCGCATTTTAATTTTGATTTCACGTTAAGTTTGCTTTTTAGTTTTATCCACAAGCATTCGCACCATAATACAACATTGCAGTGCTTGAATGCTTGGTAATACATACAAACATTACTCGCTCTCTCCTTAGTTTACCTTACTTTCGGGATTCGTTTGGAATAAAAAAGGGATCTTAGGTTTTAGTACATACATCTTTGCTTTTGCTTTTGGTTTTGTTTTTTTTTTGTTTTTTTCACTTTTGTTAGGTATGTATGTGAGAGTTTTTATGCAAAAATTATTTATTATATATCGTTATGTATAAACCGCATACGCTGAAGATTGGGAAGCGATATATGTATGTATGTGTATTCATATCTTTTGTTTTTCCTTTTCCTTTTTATTAGTAGATTTAGTTTATATGTATGTACGTAGGTATTAGTATAATAATATGTAATTTATTGTGAATTTAAATTACTGGTTCGAATTAAAAATTGGTTTTGGGATATTTTTGATCTTGTAGACGGTCAATGTATGTATGTATGATGGGGTGTGATGACCAAATGCTATTTCCAATTTCATGTTGATAAGGAACTATTGAAGTGAAATATGTATATTTTTTCTTTTTTTTTGATGTTGAAAAACGCACTTCAGAAGCATAGCGAACAAATTGAGAAACGCAAACTTTGCAAAGGGGTTGAAGAGTGGCTTGAATGAATTCAAAAATCAGCTTTAGTTTTCAAACACACAACGTGAAGAGCTACTGTGGAAGATGGATGGATGCCTAAACACACACACGAAAACATTTAGAAAATACAAAAAAAAAAAATCCAGCTAAAGCCTTTGAAATTTGAACGGGTACATACAACATTGAGAGCATAATAATATGTAATGTATGTATGTTTACACACCAAGTAAATATGTATGTATATGCTTTTATATTTTTTATATATACCAAATTGTTACTTACCAATGAATACAGTATGTATGTATGTATGTAAAGAAAGAAATTTAAGGTACATATTCATACACACACATGCATTTGACGGTACATACCATGCACATATGTACGAGCACATACATACATACATATGTACATTCATAACTATTAGTTCTTTAAAAGTATATTAAAAGCTTTTTAAACAACGTGACGACTTGCGATATCCTCCATAGTTGGTGAAACGGCTTCGTTACTAATTAAAGAAGCATAACCAGAACGCGTTTCGACTCCATACATATGTATGTATGTACATGATCAACGAGCAGAGCTTCTCTAAAACTATCTTCAAACACAAAACAAAAATCTATCTGATTCAATTACATTCTGTGAGCGACAAGTTTATAAAATTTTATAGTTTACTGTAACCATATTCGCACGCGTTCAGCTCATTTTTTTTACACTTGAAATTCTGAATGAAACCACTAACTGATTGAGCTACCTACGTTTTAGCCATTTATGTATGTATATATATTTTTACTTTACATTTAAAACACATGTACGGAAATCCTACACAATACACAGGGTGTGTAGTGCTGGTTTTTTTTTTGTCTCTTGCACAAGAAAGTAATAAAGTTGAACTAAATATTTAACCTTTCGGTAAATTGTATGCAGAAATTGATTATCCTTCAAAAACATCAATACATCAAAAGATACATACATAAAACGTATATAATAATTCATTAACTACTTACATATCACACTGATTATTGTAAAGACAAAAAGTTTTCAGATTTCATGCACCCGAAAATGCCATTGCTAAAATTTTGTGTTCCGACTCGTTTTCCATTTGGGTTAAAGTGGTCCAACTTTCTGGGCATCATTACAATGTGGCAAGATATAAGGTGGTCCACTCAATGACACGACTCAAGCGTATTATGATTTCTCCACTCAATGTGGGATTATTTCATTTGAAATCTTTACTATAATCGCTTTAACTATATATTTATTTCGAAGCAAACACATTGCCAATTCTATATTCTTCAAGAGGTCTCCTCCCTTTTTTCTTGCAAGCCGTTCTTGCTACCCACCTATTACTTGGAAATCTTTTTTCTCTTTTAACGCAACTCTATGTATACGTTTGAGCTAGAAATGAAAACAGCCGACACCTATTCCAATCGATTCGCTTCAAAATTGAATAATGAATTCAGCGATCAACTACCGAGAAGAATAATCTTCAATCACTTCAACTTCTTGGGAATTTCGCCAGAGTTTTTTTTTTCTCATGGACAGTATTTATAAAATCCTGCCTGACGAACTGAAAAACATCAAATTATGACATAGATTTTATTTTCAGTTGTTTATCAATTCGGCATATTTTTATTATTTAATGATTTTTCACATTTATAGTAAATAGTTGTATTTTTTTAAACTTCATATGTATGTAAATTACGTTAATGTTTTTTTGTTTTTATGTAAATGCACAAAGCTGATGACAAATACTAATACGATTACGAATACGAATACGAGTACGAGAGTAGTAAGTAATGATGAATGAGTGGGTATTTTCTTAGCCGATCGTTTTTTGACTTGTAATTGATTTGATCATTTCACCTGTTTATTTAATTATATAGGTACTCGGTACACACACAAAAATTGGCATCGATTTTCAGTATTCATTAATTTCATTTTTACATCACCAATTACATACATACATAAAATGCTTATTGCTGCGAAGTATGGCATTATTTATTTTGTATAATTTCAATGAAAGTTATTTAAAAAAACTACATACATTAACACAATATACATTCGAATATTTAAAAAAAAAAACGTATTAACATTTAAACTCACATACAGACAACTCTCCATGGTTGAGGGAAATCGGGGAAATCGAATACTGAGTGAGAGCGAAGGGAGCGAACATTGGACCGCCGTACGAGTACTATTAGTATATACATACATAAGTACTACTGTTTCTATATTTATTGTACCTTGCATGCAGCAACTTCTTAGGTGGCTTCTTGAGGGCTCACTCAACAACCAACAGGTTAGAGGCAAAGTTAGCAATACAGCCATGAGAATTCTAAATTGCCAATTCCTTTATTAAAAGTTCAGCTCAAAACACCGCCACATAACTACATAAATTAGCGCCTAAAGCTGTGCCAGTAATCATATCATTGCAGACATTGCATACTTAATAACGCCCTACTTCCTTATTTGGCACTCTTTGTGCCCAAAGTTAAGCGTAGCGAGTTTTAGATACGCTCTACTGCGGATAAGATTTCCAAAAACAGTATTTATGCAATTTTGGAATTATTTTTTCAGAAAGAGCATTTCAGCATTTCGTCCACAACAGTTGTGTAAACGATTTTTCATTTGCGATTCGTCCTCAGCAGCAGAACTCGGAAATGGTCAGGCTAAATTTTTACCTCCAAAATTCTCCAATTAGAAATAAGGGGCGCATAAAAAAGCATGCAAAATCAATTGACATGCCTCTCGTACTACCAAAGTTGGCCGTTTTCCAATTGCACCTCTTAGTTGTTCATATTGCTTCTTTTTAGGCACTAACACTTTTCATTTAAATAATTTTGGAGACAAAAATTTTGCGATTTTCAGATCCCCTCTACAGAGGTACACTTACAACAAACTATACTATTGCAATATTGCTTGAATCAGGATAGACTTTTTCTGTATACATACATATTCAACTGTTAGAAAAGTTAGTAATAAAACTAATAAAAACAATGGCAAATATAACGTAATAACGTTTTTATTTAAAAATTATAGAAATCATCGTTCATACTTTATTGACAAAACAATTTTGGTAAGGAATAAAAGCAAATTTGTATGCCCCAAATTGAGTTTTGAAAGCGCTCTGCTGCAGAACGCCGTAGCGCATCACTCGACCATCTAGGCTACACACCAACAGACCCATTAAACACACACCAGATGTGTTTAAAGCTTCTCTACTATTTTGATTTATGTTTATTCTCTTTCGTTTCAGGCGTTTAGTTTTTTGCAATGATTCAAAAATTGGGATAAAACGTGCACTCAAATAGAATTTCGCTTATCCTAACAGAAAGCTTTGGCAGCCAGTAATATTTTCGTAACTGAAAACATAGGAGCATTGGTTCTGGCTCAAGTGCAGGTTTTTCCATTTTTTTTTTTATTTATGTGAAGGTACGTACAAAATTTGGAAAACGAAACGAGAATGAGTTTTGGTTAATATATAAAAAAAAAACAAAATCAAATTATTTATTAAAAAATAATAAATAATATATAATGCTCTGCCTAACAAATTTTACGTTTTTGTAGATTTGTTGATAAAGTTTCATTTAAATATATGTATGCATATCAATCTTAATTCTTGTTGTTAATTGTGAAATTTTGCTCATCTTGCTTTTTTGGTTGTTTTCTCGACTGGTAGCTGGTTTGTTGTTGAGACGCTTCTTTCAGTATTCACAGTTTATTTTCTAATTGCTTTCGTTTGATTGTTGTTGTGGTCAGATGTGCTGATGAATGGCAAATGGCAAATGGCAAAACATATTTTGAATCCTTGCATGCATACAACAAAAAGAAAATTTTAAAATTTCAAAGCTTCCGAACCATTATAGCCATTCTTCTTTGCTCGCTCTACATTTTTCTTGTACAAACAAAGTGTTGCGAAACCTCAACAAACGCCTGCGTTACTCATAAGAACAGCGCGCGCGGTAAATGGAGAAACAACAAAGTGGCGCGACGTTTGGACAGCTTAAGCCAATAACCAAACGCCAGTATGCTGGTTCGGAGGAGCGGGGCAAACTCATTGCCTCGTGATTATTTTCTCACAATTCCCCATGTCACGCTGTTCTCCTTGTGCTGCTGTACTGTACATTAACGAATACACATTTAAACTATGTATGTATGTATGTAAGCATGTATGACTGGCTATGCAATGCGCAGCAATGCAACCGAATTAGAAATTCGTACAAGACTAACGAATGGCTAGAATGGTTATATGTATTTGCTACATTGTTTGCCTCAATTCATTCTGTTGCCTGTTGGAAACCACGATTGAAATTTTTTGCGTTTCTTTTGTTTATTCATTCTTGAGTTTAAATATTGCTATTGATTCATTTAACTGGATGTTGATGGGTTAGATTTTTGCTCATTCTTAATTTTGCATTCAAATGTTGTTGTTCTGCTATTCTGCTGTTCTGCTATTTCTGCTGTTACTGTTGTTGTTCTGTTCTTGCTGCTGTTAATTTTGTGGTTGGTTGCATGTTCATTGCTCTTTCATTTAAAATGAATTTGTGTTTAAATTTAGGTTGCAATTATTTCGCTTCTGCCTCTGTGTTTTATTTCAAGTGTTTTTGTTTTTAATTTTGTTGTTGTATTTCTGTTCTCTCTTGATGTTGTTTTTATTTATTTTGTTTTTATTTGTTTACTTATTATTTGCATAGTCAAAAGGAAACAATTTAGTTTGGTTAGTTGTCGCCACCCTCTTGTGGTTCATCGCCGTCCCCTTGCGTATCCGACGTCCAGAGGGTCAAGTTGTCTCTCAACAATTGCATAATCAGCGTCGAGTCTTTGTATGAGTCCTCGTTGAGTGTATCCAGTTCAGCTATCGCATCATCGAACGCCTAAGAAAGATTATCAAACAAACAAAACAAAAAAAAAAAACAATATATTAGATAGGCATACATACAACAACATAGGCATTCGTTCAAAGCAAGCAAATTTATATAAAATATGAAAATCACATTTTCAACCGAAAAAAAAAATAAAGCATTTCAATCCAAAGCAACCAATTATATGTGTAAATATACATATTTTCTTTAACTTTATATCCATTAGTATCTAGTATGAATTGTATTTTTGAAACTTTTTTTTTTTTTTTTAACTTTTCGATCTGTTTAATGCAAAGGAACTAAGCTTAAGTCTAGTAAAAACACGTTACATCATCAATCAAGTCAAAATAAAAAAATATATAAATCTCTCTTTCGGTATTGTCAGCCCTTGTGGAGTTGCATACGTGCAAATGCACACATTCATGGCTTGAATTTCTTATCGGGTACAACCTCTGGGCTTAAACTTATGTGTGTGTGTGTGTATGAATAACGTTTTTGACTTAGTTTATATAAAAAAGGACTAAAAGAACACGAAAATGCACTGCAGCCACTACCGACCTTTGTTTTTTTTTTTTTAATAAGGCAGCGAAGTAACAGTGGTACGAAAAACAAAAACGTGTTAAAGAGACGAACTAAATTACAAATGAACAAGGAGTTATGAACTAAAAAAAGGTGAAAATTGTAAAAATATTACTTTGCGACCTGAAGAACGGATTTTGTAATAGCCTTTTTTTGGCCTAATTTTTGCTTTTGCACAACACAGCTCCTTTACAGGGCTGCAAACCGGGTTATAATCGAACCGCCGTTTTTTTCAGGCTTCGAACCGAATCGTTTTCATTTTGAAATGCCAAACCCGAACCGAAAACCACTCAAAAAATTGTTCGATTCGGTTAAAAATTAAAATCCACTAAAGCATTTTTCAAGTTTTTTTATACCCAACTTTGCCTAAACTGCTGACCATTTTTTGTTTGATGGCAACACCGTGAGGTGATTAAAGCGTGCTCGAAATGTTACATACCTATAGTAACACCGTCAGCAAAAAAAAAAAAAAAACATGCCAAAAAAATTCAAAATGCTAAGTATGCAGTTCTAGTCTACTTTACTAGACTTAAGACTTCTCAAAATTTTAAAAAGGTTTATTCAATTTTTTTAACCGACTTCACAAAAAGGTTATCAATTCGTCGGAATATTTTTTTATGTTTTTATGTATGTTACCGCATAACTTTGGACCACGTTAACCGATTTTTAAAGGAACGGTGTTACCTCACAGGTGGTCCCGTACAAATTTGTTTTAAAACCGATTATTGGATCATGAAGAAGTTAACGATAATCTTAAATTTGTATATGAGAATTGAAGTCGGTTTTTTTTTTCTTACAAATTACTTGTTTTTATTTCACTAAAAAATGAAAAAATCCAACATTTCATTGGATACAAGGGTTTTTTTTCCATATGTATCAAATTGATGCACAACGTACTTTGTGTTACAAAAAATTTCCGATGGATGCGGGTTAAATAAATAATTGGGTATTATTACTGGGAATCTCCTGAAGAGCAACAAAGATTTCTACTAAAAAAATATTGAGTTTCAAGAATTATATACCGTTTCTACGAAAAATTGTTTTTCCCCATATAAAGTACATGGCAAACTATGAGCGCTTTGAGCGACCTCTAAATATTTTTTTATTGGTATATTTTTTCGGTATAAAACACTTCTATGGGGTGAGAGCATAAAAGTTCCGACTTTAATTTTTCACATGCATTTTTGGAGTACCCTAATGTACATATGATGTGGATATTTAAACTTGATCTCTTTTATTTTTATACCTATAGTAATTGTCAAATTTTTTGTGATATTTGTATCAGTTAGTGTAAAAAATTTAACCCTTTGGACCGAACCGAACCGCATCGATTTTTGGAGGGGTTTGCAGCGCTGCTAATTTTAGCATGGTTTATGGTTTCTTGCGTGCAGGCTCCCTGGGGTTTCAACGCTGCTCAATGCTCAAGGCAACAGATGCGGGTGTGTTCATTCTTTAAGAAAGGTATGTAAGTAGTGGTCAGTAATTACACAGCAAACAAAAAAGTTAGCAGAAAAACATTTAGCAAAAATTGGTAAAACACAAAACGAAATTGAATCACATAAAATATGGCACAATTAGTATTTTCATCAGCGGGGATAAATATACATATGTATGTATGTATGTATAGCTGGTTGGTTGGTTGGTGTAGAGACGTAAGCGAACATCAAGAAGCCTTCTTAGAGCGAAAGAAATTAATGCATACAAAATAAACTTTTGTTATTAATCAAAAATCACAAGACCAGCATAAACAAACAAATTCATTTGTTAATATTTCACGTTCAAGTAACAAAAAAACACAATCTTCAATTCCACCTGTTTAGCCAAATGGCAAGCCCGCGCCGGCGAGTTGATAATTTCGTAATAGAATACGGAAAAGTTGAGGGCGAGACCTAAGCGTATCGGATGTGTTGGCTGCATTTTGCCCTTAGCAATATCGAATGCTTCCTGATATGCCTTTTTCGAGTCCTCAACCACGCCTGTTAACAAGCCGAAGCCACCAAGCCACAAGAAGTTAAAATGGTCACAGGAGATTTTTTTATTTATTTTTTTATATTTTTTATTTAAAGCAAAACGCGTGTTTATAATTGAATTGATTATTTATGCGTGCATTTGTGGGTGTGAAGTTGTTTAGCACACGAACGGAAGGAGCAGAATTGAGAGCAGAAAAATCGATGAGCACATGAGAAGGTAATGAAAAGAAAAAACAATAAAACAAAAAAAAAATTAGAATTAATCGGAATTAATATTAAAATCAGACGAACAAAGTGGTTAAAGAAAATTTTAAAAAATCTATGGAATAGTATGTACATAAATAATTTTTGTGCTAATATAAATTAAATAAATAATGGCCAGACCCCACCGTGAGTTGTTTCACGGCAAACAAAAAAAAACACAAAATATATACTTGTAGCGATTCGAAATTATATGATAAGTTCGAATTAAAATGTGTGTCAAACTTTTGGCGCTTCTCTTAACTTGAATACATGGAAAACTCTAAAACTCTAAAAATATTTAGACAAGTTTTGACAGTCACAGTTTCCAAGCATTCAAGGTTTTTGCAGCTTTTTCCAATTTAAAATAATACACCTACTATTTTGCTCGACCTTTTTGCATTTCATACATGCTTAATTATAATCTTAAATTTTTTTACAGAATTGTTTTGTTTTTTTTTTTTTGATCGATGATGTGTCGTGTTCCAACCCATGTTAAATTTTTATTTGCAATTTCTAATCGACGACTCAAAAGGACTACGAAAAGTAGCTTGTCTGTCATGTTGCTTGTTTGTTTGAAATGCTTGCATTAATCCATTTTTTTTTTCTCATAAGTTATTATAGCATATTAACCTGTTTGGCCAGTTGGCAAGCTTTGTCTGGAGAATTCAGAATCTCATAATAGAAGACTGAAAAGTTTAGGGCTAAACCCAACCGGATTGGATGTGTTGGCTGCATTTTTCCCTTGCTAATTTCAAATGCATCCTGGTAAGCGGTTTGAGAGTCGTCTACAACAGCTGTTAACACGACGTTGCGATTTAGGATTAATCAATTCATTTTTATTTTTATTTTTTTTTTTTTTTTTTTAGAAAAAAAAATTAAATTAATATTAGAAATATTTTAAGGTTTCTATGTAAATTTATGGCAATGATACTGCATGAGTAGGGTTAACACAGAGTAGTAAAATGTACGGGATTTAAGGAAGGGACTGGTGGTGGTGGTTTTTGTGTGGGAGTGGAGTTACAATATCACATAACCACAGTAGAAATACAAAACACAATTCAAATACTTACTGTTACGGGCGTCTCCTGTGGCCACCTCAGCTAAATACCTGTAATAATCTCCCTTCATTTTCAGGTAGAAGACCTTGCTCTCTGGATTACTGGCTTTTGGAATAAGGTGTTTGTCCAGAAGACCCTAAAAAAGATAATAAATAAACCATAAAAATACAATTAAATGCAAATTAAAAAATAGATACTTTTGTATTGGCCTTAAATAGTATTTAAATTTGTAGTGTGGCGACCACCGTGGCCGAATGGTGAGTTGTGCTCAAGACTCAGGTTTTAATTCCTGGACCGACTAACCTCAAAAAAAAAAAGATTTTTTTTTTCAAATAGCGGCCATCCATCGTCAGGCAATGGCATACGTCGCAGTTTATACTGCGATTGTGCTGTTTCACGCTAGAATGACAGAACAATTTATTCTCACGGTTTCACACTGGATGCAAACTAGCAGAATAAAATGTGTATTTGTAAATATTGCGCTTGAAAGTTGCGCAGCGTCATTTTCGTAGTTGCGCATGTGTTGGTGCGCTGCAGCAGAACTGCCACTTTAATGCGGGGTAGGAAGCTGGAACAACTTTTTAAGAAACTTTATCTCACCGCATTGCCTCTCTTGCCAACAAACTGAGTTGTTCTCGTGGCAGAAATGTTAGAGTGTGAAACCGACCATTCCTATTTCTCATCACTCAGTTCAAATGACAATATGAAGAGTGCACACCACAAATTAGATGAGAAACTCGGTGATGCAATTAGCAAAATGCGAGAAGCGCCATTTCTTACATAATCGAATAGCAAACAGTAAACGAATATGATATTTGCCGATACTGTAATTGGCAAAAGATTTTCTGAAAGGTGGGAGTCTGGTTAAATGTTCTCAAGCCCGCGACTTGAAAATGCTTTGTATGTATAAGCTGTAATGTGGCGCAAAATACAAAAAAACTAAAAGCTTGAGGAAAAAGAGAAACAAATCCGCCCTTTTGAGCGCAAATGTTAGTCATCTGATATTATGCCTGTTCATGTAGCAAATAATTTGTAATAATTGTCATAAATTATCCAGTTTTGGGGTGTTCATGTATCCAAAAACTTGCAAAGGAAAATTGAGAGAGCAACAAATTAATCAGCTGTTCACGAAATTTGCAAACTGTTACTGGTTTTACAATAATGTACTTTTTTGGCTATTTTTCTCGAATATTAAGTTACTAGAGAGTTGCTGGAAAGTTATTGAATAATTTTTATATGAACGATCCATGCTTTCTAGGGATGGTTCTAATTGTTTGAGCTAAATTTTTTGCTGTACTTCTGGTCTACTACCAAATTGGCTGAAGTGCGCTTTACCTTGTAACTACTGCTTGAAGAACATGGTAAGTGACAGACTGTTGTTGTTCGTTGTACTGTTATCTGAAAACTGAACCGATGATACACCGTTTAATGACGTTATTTTTGACACGCGCTTTCCGCTCCATAGGACAACTCAAATAATATAACCCCCAAGTGGGCACAGCAATATAGCGGGCACAGTTACAGTGTGTGTCGCATCCTTGATGCCACTAAAATTGCGCACACTCACATATACTCATAGATACCTATTTCCACCTATGTGATTAATTATATCAACCACTCTTCGGCTTTGCAACAGCAGAAACGGTAAGAATGAAAGTGATTGCGATTAAACACAGAAACAAAAACTCGCCATGCCACGATGGAGACAGTAATTGGAACATTGGCGGCGCATTCATAAGCGAAGGTAAAACAAAAAGGGAAGGGCAGGGCATACACAGAGCTCCACTTCACGCATGCACGAGCATTCATGCAAACATACACCTATATATGTATATGTATATGTATAGTCGGAGCCCAGCAAACATTCGGGTTTGACAATAACTGAGTTTGAGTTGAGAACGAATGTGCCTAAAGGCACATTTATTGTTAAAAAACGGATGTGTTCTCTAACTGCAAAAATTGAGAAAAAAAACAGTTCTAAAGTTGTTATCCAACCATTTGAGTTGTTCATTTTTTCAACGCCGGGAATTTGTCAACGGTTTCTGGTTATTTTCGTTTGGTGTTTGCTGGGTTGTGTGAGTACAGAGATATGCACATTGTGAAAAGAAGGGTAAGGACAGTAATGCCCAAGCTACCGCCTTTATTTTTTTTTTAGCTTTGACCCGGTGACATACATACATATGTACATGGTCTAAATTTCTTT